TTTTCAGAATAAGTTTAAAGCCTTTTTTCGCGCATGATGTATGGGCTAGGTAAATGTGTCCGCAACGAAAGAAAGTAAAGAATTTCCTCAAGAGTGTGCTAAATTAATTATGATTCAGTTGGATCTGACGTCTAGTCTGAAGGACAATTATATTTCTGTCTGTTTTTATTCTGTGACCCAGCACGTCTGCTGTTACCTGTCTCCAGGAGGACAAAAACCCGGAAAAGTTAAATAATATTCTCTTTATAAAAAAACAAAACAAACTTAAATGTAGGTGTTTTTATTCTCCATCAATACAATTTTTGGTTGCCTAGGAGGCAACCTTTCGACCCTACCGATCAAGGATGATAATAATCTAAACAACCCCACTAGAAACGCTCTGCTATCGTACTTCCGTTAAAAGTAAAACTGCCCCCTCCGTTCTGAACTTACAGTGTGATCCCCCCAAAAAATTTACAACTTGTTTTGTAAATGTCTTCCTCCACACTGAAGTTGTGCGTTTCAGATTTGAACATAATATTAGGAAGCCAAAAGGAATTCGACTGATATGTATTTTAGATAAGTCCTTTGGATGGTTTTGCTCTATATAGCGCATTAAAAAAACAACCTATTTTCAACCTTGTCGCCATTTTCATAGCATGGCGCACCAGTTTGTATTAGGCCTACCACTAAAAGCTGTAACAATCGCGCCATATTGCAAGTTACAGCAGTCTAACAAGTCAACAGAAGTCTGCAGATATTATTTTTCCCAAATTTCGTTTGCCTGCTTAGATCATGGTTACGTTAAGTAAAGAGCAGAGAGCTTTTTGTAGTGAACATTACCTCTCCAGAAACACACCGTCCCTGACATTTCGTAAGTTCTGCGCACGGCATGGAGAGAATGCTTATGTGCCCTCAAGACCTTTGGCGTCATGAGTAGAGAAGTTCCGTCAGTTTGGATCTATAGCGAATCAGAACTAAAAAGTTCTTTAAAAAATGACCACTTCATGTCGAACACGCACCCGCAGCCGTTTAAACGTCACCAGAGTGCAGATTTCAGTAGCCTTGTCCCATGAGACGTCTGTCCGTGGATGATATGCAGCTAGGACTTTCTTACACATCAACAGTCTGCATTCGCAAAGCAGATCTTAACCTACGACTTTACAATGTTCATCTTCGCTAGACCGAGATGACATGGATCAGAGCATGGCAATGTGTATATGATCCTTCGATTGTCTGGTAAAGAGAGATCATTTCCTCGATGCCATTTGGTTTAGTGCAAAGCCATTTTCACCCTGCGGGATATTTAAACTCCAAAAATGCTGTCTATTGGGCACCCCACTCCCTATTGTCTCAAGAGGCCACTTCTTAATGAACATGTACAATGTATGTGGCTTTAAAAACTCATGGTTTAGCAGGTCCTTGTGTTAGGGCGCCACTGAACATTTCGAACGACGCGTTAAAAATGTGTTGAGTCCAAAGGAGGGAGTGTGGAGCACTGCTTCTAGGAATTTCAGAATGAAATCATTTGTTTTTTTAAACTCTGTGAAAGAAATTAAATATTGTTTAAATGTCACAGGAATGGAAAATTAATGTCAAGGAGAAAATAAAGAAAAAAGTCAACTAATCTTTACAAGATTTTAAATCATTTGTGAACTTTGCGTTTTTGTGAGCTTTTTTCTTTTAGCCGTTTTCGTTTTCAAAACATGTTTCTTCTTCGTGGATTTTATATCAAACAAATTCCTTTTGAATGAATTATGTCTGTTCCAAATTACAGTATTCTAGAACAATGTTTGTACGAGATATTTAAAAAAAAAGTTGTAAAGTTTTTTTTTGGATCACCCTGTACTTGGCCTACGTAGTACATTCGAAGTCTCCACTTGGGTGGTTGGCAGGTGCTCTGGTGTGGTTTGCTCCTTTTATCCTATTAAATATCTGTCGCCCTTATCTCTCCTTCTTTTTGTTTTTGTTACTCTCTTGTAACACCTCTAATCTTCGGCACTTAAATGACCTCATTGTGTTGCAAGTGCCGGAAACTAAAACTCTTACTAAAACTAAGCTAAGAGGTCTCCAGTCACAGTCGGGCCACACGTTGGTCCTCGTGACCTCATTCGTGAAAGTCGCTACTAACTTATTCAAAGAAGTGGGAACCGAAATCTATATTTCCCTAGGTTCTTTTATCAGCATCGTCCCGATGCTCCCGTTCCGCTGGCAGAAAGAGATTGATCAACCTTCGAACTGTTTATTCCTCAACACTCAACATATTATTATTCCTCTGTCTTCTGGAAGTGTCATCCCTGACTCAGAGGTTGCCGTGTTACATGTCCCTCCATCCCTGACTCAGAGGTTGCCGTGTTACATGTCCCTCCATCCCTGACTCAGAGGTTGCCGTGTTACATGTCCCTCCATCATTCACTCCCGGGGGCTGCCGTTGCACATTTTGCTACACGCAGGTCAGTCAGTGCATGTTTTAATGTTGTCCACCCATGTAACTCTTTGTGTACTCCTGGCTCTCCTGTCCCACACTCTTTCTTCAATCACCTCTTTCACCTCAACCTCTGTGAATAAATAATGTACCGTACATACGAAACAGATAGAGAGCACTGTCTAACGAAAAAGAAAACCCCCATCGCCCCCTGGAGGACTTTAGGGGAGGGGGTCCACAGCTGTGTATTGTTTTATAAAGAATCCAATGTAGATTTCTACCTTAGATCTTAACTTTAAAAAGAATCCCAATACTTCCTGTCCGTTCTGTACCCGAGAGCTAGTGGCTTTTATTGATACCATTGTCCGCCTATACTGGTGAAACGAAAAGCAGAAAGTGAACTCTTTTTTAGACAGGGGCTCATTAACAATTTCGCTGGTCAGTTTTCATGTCTTGAGATAATTTTGATTAAATTTACCTAGCCCCCTTTTTTATGAGAATATTTCATTTTTAGGAAGAGTTTACATGTTAATTTTGGTTAATAACCCCCCACCCCTTTCCCCAATCTTTCTCTCCTTTTCCAGTTTTGTTCCTACTGTTTCTTTTTGTTGGCTTGTTTGCCTGTCTCTAGATCCGTCTTTATCTCTAATTTCTCTCTCTCTCTCTCTCTCTCTCTCTCTCTCTCTCTCTCTCTCTCTCTCTCTCTG